TAGTGTTATTACCCACAGTCTAATTTCTGGTTTGAAGAAGGAAAAACATAATTTATACCTTCCTGTTTAAAGTCTTGCTCCCTTAACACAGTGATTTCAGGAATTAAAGATGGAAACACTTTCATTTTGGGATTTCATTCTCCTGTTAGAAATCACTGGATTACAGTTCCCATCATTTCTGACTGTTGGTCATGCTATCTGGGACTGATGGGAATTGGAGTCTCAATAAAATCTGGAGGACCACAGCTTCCGTATCCCAGCTTTAGTTTTGTTGAAGTTAGAGGTGACATGGCCTCCATGACCCCTATTCTTAATGAAGCTGGGTCAGTAATAACATCTCAACTAGGAGACAGTCCATGTAATAGAACAATGTTTTATGCATGATACAGTTCCCCCCCTTCCCCCTCTCCTTCACCACCACTTGTACCTGTTCAGTTGGTATAGTGCCCATTGTATGTAGCATTATGTGCATTTCAGTTGTTGCTTATGGTTGCATTCAATATTCTCACAGTGTTGTGTGTGAAGTACTGGAACTTATTTTCCAAATTCCCACCAAACTCACCAGGTGACCTTGATCCATTGACACTCTCAGCCTAATCCACCACAGAGGATGTTTATGAGAATGGCAAGGTCAGGGGGACAACCATGTATATTACCTTGAGCAACTTGGAGGAAGGGTGCCATCAAAATGTAGCAAAAAATTAAAAGGCACTCCTATATTGGGGGGGGGGGATATAATAAGTTACCCTGGGAAACTATAGTTGCATTTCTTTGAACATGTTTCTGACAGCAAAGGGTACAACATCTCCATAAGCATTTGAAATTGCACTAATATCCTGGCCACTTATGCCTTTCTTGACACAAATACGATCTGAAACCTTCTTGAATAGCTCATGACCGATTTATGTTGGACGTCATGATTGTGATCAGCATTGTGGGGAATGGTATTGACGTTCTAAAGCTCAGCAGAAATCACAGTATCCTTCTTGGTCGTTTAGTGTGGTTTTCTAGATTGTAAGCAATGATGCTGAAGGAAATGAATCCTTGGTTCCTCCTTAAAAACACAACAAATGCTTTTCGCCCAGCAATGTTCTACCGGCCATTGCTAGCAGTTCTAATGAAAGAAAAATCCTCTATCCTTGCAAACTGAAGCTCTGCCTCAGTTCATGGTCAAATGCTAATGAGCAAGAGTGAATGCATTGCCCTTAAATAGCCGGCTCTGAAATATTTGAGTGCTAAATTGCGCACAAAGTAGCTGCCCTTCTCTTACGGCACTGCAGAATGCATGAGCATGAATCAGTGGCTTGTTTCCCAAAGGAGAGGACGCCACAGAGCATCAACATTCCACAAGCATCAACACTCCACAAGTTCTGAGCCATATCTCACTCCAGATCCCCTGCTTTTGTGTCAATGTTGTATAGATTGTGACTCTACAGCAGGAATGGAGAAACTGTATCCACACAGGTGTCCCAACTCCATCAACCCTTGAATATTGGCTGTACTGGCTGGGACTGATGGGAGTTGGAGTCTGACAACATCTGGACAGGGGGCAGTTTGTTTTTGTGTATATACAGCACCTAGCATGTATTGGGAGCTTTGTAAGTAATGCATGATTATGGTGGTTCATAATTTACCCTACGAATGGGCAGAAGGTAGATCAGGATCTACTGGGTGATTTGCAGTAGATCTGCAAGGATTTATGACTCTGAGTTATTCAACAGCAGCAGCAGCAGCAGCAACAAATCAGCCCGCTAAAATGAAATGAAGAAAGCTTGGAGGTGAAACTTTGGTCCAGGGGTGGATTTAGGAGAGCATGATTGGTTCGGTCACAACTTGGGGGTGCTGCAGGGGGTGTCACAACTATGATGTAGAATGGAAAGTGAGTGCTGGGGGGAATTTTTAGCAGCAGACAGGGTGTTGTACCACAAGGTCCTCCGCTGCCTGCACATTTAAAGCAGTATCATGGCTCTTTAAAGTTCTCCCAAAGAATCCTGGAAACTGTGGTTTGCCACAAGTGCTGAGAGTTGTTAGGAGATCCCTCTTCCTCTCACAGAGCCACTATCCCCAGAGTACGACTGACTGTTAAGCCCCTCTGAAAACTGTGCAGGGTATGTGTGTGTGGGGTCTTCTAACAACTTACTCCTAGGTAAATGGGGTTAGAATTGCCATCCAAGTCAGACCTTTACTTTCTTCCCTAGCTTTTATTTAGAATATATCTTCATTCCTCCTTGTCAAGGCAATCCCAGAGCGGGCTACGTTAAAATCAATACAAAGCACATATTAATGCAACAGCCTAAAGTCAACAGGATGATCCGCAATTCAGCAGAGGCCTCCAAATGCCTGGGTAAAATAAATGAGTCGTCAGCGCAACAGAGCCCAGTGCTGGCCATATCTGTGAGGGGAAGGAATCCCATGATCGGGGCATTGGTTCTGAGAAAGCCCTCTCTCACATTGCCACATACCAAATTTTGGTCAACTGTGGCATAGACAAGAGGGCTTCCCCATAGTCTTGATGCATAGGCTGGGCTATATAAGAGATGGCATTCCATCAGGTAGCTAAGCTCCCAAGCTATATATAGGGCTTTATAAATCGACTACTGGGGAGTGCCAGTAGAAACCCAGAACCCCTAGAATATCACACCACTCAGAGATTGGGATGTGGTATGCAGCAATAGCAACAACAACAAAATGGAATTGCTTTATGGACGAGCATGTTGTATGTGGCACAACTGAGAGAATATTACCTTCCCTTCCCTTAATCTGTATTTTGAAGGCTGTTCTGTATACTAAACAAAACAAATCCCAGTCTTGCATATTGTTTTCTGGAGGATTAATTACTGGAATAAACTTTCCTGCACATTCTGTTTCATTTTCTTTATGCAATGTTTTGGCAGGAGGCAGGTCTTCAGGTGCAGCTTAAAAAGCATCTTCTGAGGACAGGCTTCTGCCATTATGTTTTGGAGCTGCTCCTTCCTTCATGCTCAGTTTGATGTTGCTGTTTCGAAAGAAACGGCTGATTTCAGCTCTTCCACTCTGGGTGTCACTGCATGCTCTCAAATAGTGACATGAAGGCAGGTCACCAGGTTTTTATATGCACAGGATGAGGAGGGGGGGAAATCAATTTTAATCCCCACAAGTGGGGACTGTCAATGCAGAAGGTCACTACCGATTAGCAATTGCTTTGTTGTGGTCGTGGAGTTTGGATGAGGGATCTAGTGGGGATATAAAAAGACATGAGCTTTGAGCAAGACCTGTGCTGCCTCACCGCTTTGGTACATTGTTAAAGGACAGTAATCTATTCTCTCAAAAAAGCTGTGGTGCACAGGTTGATTATCTCTGTGGGTGGGATTTCTTTTGCATTTAAGCTTCTGTAAATACCAGCAGTATGGGGAGGAATAAATGCATCCATGTAGACTGGAAATATGTGCAGTATTGATTATTGTGTACATGCAAGTAGTGCATCATGTTCACAGTCCATCTTCTATGAGTGAAAAAACGTTGCCAGTTTGGTTAGGAATAAGCCTTGGATTGGTGTACATAGTCCACATTCCAGGAGAGGATGGAAACTGGCTGAGATGGTTGTTTGGACTGGATTACAGAGGAAGCACAGTGGTGTTTGAAGAAGGGTGCAGAATAGCAACACACTGAGTAAGAACTGAGAATATAAGTAGGCAAGGAATTGAAGAAAGGAGGGAATAATTATCAAGTAAGGAAGAGCATAGCAAGAGGAGGCAGGAAACTGACCAAGACAGGATAGAAAGAAAGGCAGAGAAGCCAGCAACAAAAAAGTATGGAAATGCAGAAGGTGGTAGTGGCAGCTTGGCTAGTTGCTTCTCTTTACAACAATCTCAATGGACTAGGAGGGGAGCAACAAATCTTGATGCAAGGTAGCAGTCAGTGGCATGAGATTTGGTTCAAGAATTTGGAAGATTCTTGAACTGCTGGATCTTTTTCACAGACTCTTTTTCACTGGTTCAGGGAGTGCAGTGGCTGCTGACCTTTTGGAGGCAATTTATTTATTTAAACTATCATGTACTGCATAATTACTAGTGTTTCTAAGTGGTATGCACAAAAAATAATTTTAAAAAAACCACATGGTGGATAAGATAATTTAAAAGTAGTAATAAACAGAAAAGGTCCTTGAAGAGACGGCTGAAACAGAAGGGTCTTCAACAAGTGCCTTAAGTTCCACATGGAAGGGGCCTATCTGATCTTAGTTTGGAGGGGCTTCCATGAAATCATTCCAAAATGCCGATAGCACAGCTCCTGGGGCATATGAGCCATTTATCTGAGTCATGTGGGACTACTAACAGAGACTCCCCCCCAGATATTTCAGTGATCAGGCAGTGATATAAGGGATCAGGAGGCCCTTAAAATATCTTGGACCCACATTGTTAAGGGTTTTGCAAATTACTACAGGAACCTTGTACTTTGCCCATTAACATATGCACAGCCCATGCAAGCTTTTAAGCACTGGAGTTATGTGCTGGCGGTCATCTGCCCCCGCCAGCTATTTAGCCATAGTATTTTGGGACCAGGTCCAAGGGTAGCCCCATGTAGAGCCCTGCATATGTATAGATGCAAATTTAGGTTGACTTTCAGAGGAAGTCTGCTCTAAAAGCCAAAAACATTTGTTTTGTGTGTGTTAAAGTTTTTGAAAGAGGAAGGGGGAAGGAGCAAGAAATCCATGGCTAGGGTGGCAGGTCCCCTGGATCTGCTAGAGAGCAACACCCTTGGTTCTTGTTCTGTGGGTACTTGAATAAGTGGCTGTGGGTTAGATCTGCTCCTGCAGATATATCACAGCCACTGCATAGCTTAATACATTTAAGTTCAAATGACTGGTGGGTAATTACGTCCCTTTGAGTTGACTGCAGCAAATGGCATCCACTTGCATTGGAACAATCTGTGTTTGGGGGAAATAGATTTGCTTTTTTTGGTATTGAATCAGGGCTCTTTGCTTTGCTGCAATAGCTTGACCCCACTAATCAACAGTGCCCTTT